ACCAGAGCAGAGCAGAGGGGCAGAATCCCCTCCCTGGCCCTGCTGGCCACACTTCTTTTGATGCAGCCCAGGATGCAGTTGCTCTCTGGGCTCCAGCACACCCTGGTGGCTCATGTTGAGTTTCTCATCAACTACCACCCCCAAGTCCTTCTCCTCAGGACTGCTCTCCAGCCATTCTCCCCCCAGTCTGTATTTGTGCCTGGGGTTGTGCCCACCCAGGTGCAGGACCCTGCACTTATCCTTGTTGAACTTCATGAGGTTGGCACTGGCCCACCTCTCCAGCCTGTCAAGGTCCCTCTGGATGGTGTCCCTTCCCTCTTGGGTGTCAACCACACCACACAGCTTGGTATCATCATCAGATTTGTTGAGGATACACTCAATCTCACTGTCCATGTCTCCAACAAAGATGTTAAACAGCACTGGTCCCAATACTGACCCCTGAGGAACAACACTTGTCAGCTGCCTCCACTTGGACACTGAACCATTGACCACAACTCTCTGGGTGCAGCCATACAGCCAGTCTCTTATCCACCAAGTACTCCATCTGTCAAATCCATGTCTTGTCAGTTTGGAGACCAGGATGTCATGTGGGACAGTGCCAAAGGTCTTGCACAAATCCAGGTAGATGATGTCAGTTGCTCTGCCACCATCCACCATCTCTGTAGCCTTGTTGCAGAAGGCCACCAGACTGGTCAGGTATGACTTGCCATGTTGGCTGTCACCAATCACCTCTTTATTTTCCATGTGCCTTAGCAGACTTTCCAGGAGGATCCGCTCCATGACCTTGCCAGGACAGAGGCTTAGCAATTTCATCTGCCAGTTCCCTCAGGATCTGTGGGTGAATCCCGTCAGGTCCCATAGATTTATGCACCTTCGGGTTCTTTAGATGATCACGAACCTGCTTTACACCTACGGTAGGGGTTAATTCATTCTCCCAGTCCGTGCTTTCACCTGCTGTGGCCTTTGTGTTGAGGTTGGAGCACTTGCCATAGAAGAATGGAACAAAGAAGTAATTGAGGACCTCAGCCATCTCCATATCCTGTGTTGCTACCTCACCCATTCCCTTCAGGAGAGGGCCTACACTCTCCTTGGATGTCCTTTTCTCCCCAACATACCTAAAGAAGCTTTTCTTACTGTTCTTAACATCCCTGGCAAGATGTAATTCTAGCAGGGATTTGGCTCTCCTCACCTGATCCCTCACTGCTCAGACAACCTCTCTGTAATCCTCCCAGGGTACCTGCCCTAGCTTCCACCCCCCTGTATGCTTCCCTCTTCAGTTTGAGCTTTTCTAGGAGCTGCTTGCTTATCCACACTGTCCTCCTGGAGTTTTTACCTGATTCCCTCTTATTTGGGATGCATTGCTCTTGGGCCTGGAGAAGGTTATCCTTAAATATTGGCCAGCTTTCATGGGCCCCTCTTCCCTCCAGGATGTTACCCCAAGACACTCGCTTGAGCAGATCCCTGAAGAGGCTGAAATCTGCCCTTTTTAAGTCAAGGGTAGTAAGCTTGCTGTGAGCCCTCCTTGCTTCCCTAATGATCCTGAGCTCCACCATTTCGTGGTGACTGCAACCAAGGCTGCCCTTGAGCTTAACATCACTCACCAGCCCTTCCTTGTTGGTGAGAACAAGATCCAGCATAGCACCTCTCCTTGTTGGTTCCTCAATAACTTGGAAAAGGAGGTTATCATCCTTGCACTCTAGGAACCTCCTGGATTGTTTGCATTTAGCAGAGTTATTCTTCCAACAGATGTCAGGTTGTTGAAGTCTCCCATAAGGACCATGGCTTGTGAATGAAGCTGCTCCTGTCTGTCTATATAGTGTCTCATCTATATTATCCTCCTGCTCAGGCAACCTGTAGCAAACCCCCACTGTGATGTCACTTTGGCCTTTCTTCCCCTTAATTTTAACCCCTAAGCTTTCTGTTGGCTCCTCATGTGCCCCCAGGGAGAGCTCCATGCACTCCTGCTGGTCTTTGACGTAGAGGGCAACACCCCCACCCTGTCTCCCCTGTCTGTCCTTCCTAAAGAGTTTGTAACCCTCCATTCTGATGCTCCAGTCGTAGTAGCCATCCCACCAGGCCTCAGTGATGCCAATGAGATCATAGCCCTGCAGGCTCACCCTCATCTCCAATTCCTCCTGTTAATTTCCCATGCCATGTGCATTTGTGTAAAGGCATTTAAGCTGGGCCTCCAGTGAGGTTGCCTGACTAGCTGACCTGACCAACACATCACCCCTAGGCTCATCTGCAGTAAGCCTGGCTTTTTCCCCCACCCCCTTCCAACCTAGTTTAAATCCCTGCCAAGGAGTACCTGCTAATTCCTGCCCTAATAACCTTTTTCCCCTGTGGGACTGGGTCTTCCCATCCAATGTCAGCAGGCCTGGTGTCCTGTAAACCAAACCATCCTGAGCCCTTGACCAGTCGTCCCAATGCCCTGCAATCTTTCTTCGTTACTCTCAAACCTCTTTTCTCCACCTCATCACTACCTACCTAGAAGATCGAAAGAGGATAATAGTCTGAGGGCCATATCAGACCAGGAAGTTTCCTGGTTATCCCTCACCCTGGCCCCAGGGAGGCAGCAGACTTCCCTATGGGAAGGGTCTGGCATATGGGACCTTCAGTTCCCCTCAGAATGGTATCTTCTATCACTATCACCCTCCTCTTACTCTTCTCGGAAGCAGACCTAATCTGAGGAGCTGGTTGCTTTGTCAGCTCCTTAGGAGCAGTCCTACTGCATCGAGCTGGCAGCTTCGGCAGCTCCCTGGATGGGGCTTCTTCAGCATCATTGTTTGACTGGTCCCCTATCTCCAGAGCCCTGTATCTGTTCTGTAAGGGCACCTGGAGATGTGGGGAGGGTCCGGTGAGAACTCTTCTGCTTCCCGTAGCAGGGACCTGCTTCCATTCCCCCCCATCCTCTCCTAGTTCCCATCCTTCCTGCTGGTAACCAGAGGGCTGGGGATCTTCTGCCTCTTGTGAAGCTGCTACCTATTGCCTTTTCCCTAAGGATGGCAGGGTGCAGCTC